CAACTAATACTTTCTTATTTGAATTATCTATCGAATGACCCTCAAAATTTTCTATTTTATACTCTTTAGTCCTTTACTAATTTTATCTTAATCGAAATTTTATGTCTCAAGTCTAAGTTGAGTTTCATGGTATATTCCTCTTAAATTGACCATAAGTTGGATTAAGTCACTCAATCACCCAATTTTAACATGGGAATAAATGTTTGGTTAAACTTATGATTTTAAGTCTATGTATTCATGGGTAAAATTCATTAGTTGATACAATTTGTAACTTCGAATACTAATACTAAATATGCCTCTTTTTTGGTACATTATTATGTTTTATTTTTTGCACGTAAAAAAAATTAAGCACTCTTTAAAGTGATGTACCCGGTTATGGATATGTCTCCTTTACTCTTCTCTTGGTCCTACTCACTTTTAATAAATTGTGTTGTCAATTGCCTGATTTTTTTTCCTTTTATTATTTTTGAATTTAACAATCTATTATATAAAACTAATATTTTTAAGTGGCTATACTGCCTTTTCAAATATGATACTGCTATTTCAATTTTAGTTTTGATATGAAACTAATTAGTCTCATTCTTGAATTTTCAGTTTGTTGCATATGGGGAACTGCATGTTTATGTGTGAGCTCAAAATCATGTTTGCTTCTTTATTTGATTTTTAAACAGATATATGGTGTGCCTCATTATTCAAATTCTTTGTTTTTGGTCTATACAATATTACAATTTACTTTTCTCACAAAAAATTGATATCTTAAGATAAATTATCAATTTCTTTCAAAAGAGAATAAAAATACCCGCGGCGAAGCGCGGGTAGTCTACCTAGTCTTGATAATTGGACTTGTTAAGAAAAGGCTAAAAACTCAATTTAGGCCTAAGTCTTTGAGAGTTTGCTCGATTTAGACTTAATTCTTTTAATTGCAATATTTTGACCTTAAACCTTTAGGGTCCGTTTGGTAGGAAGGAAGGGAAAGGGTAAGGAAGGAAATTTCATCAATCCAAAGGTTGAGCTAAAAAGTAGCATGTATGGTTGTGCATCACAACCATTGAATGGAGCAAATTTCCTTCCTCATCCCTTTCTTTCCTTCCTACCAAACGGACCCTTAAGGGATGAACAAATTAGGCTCAAGTTGATGGAAATTCATAGGTGTAATGTAATACATGCGCAGTTATCTTCACTAACAGTCCATTTGGATAAGTTGTGTTGAGGATTAGTAAAGAAAAGGTAATGATAGAAAATGAGAGTTCCATAAAGGAAAAGAAAGGAAAAACCAATCATTGTTTGAATAGTTTTAAATGTAAAAAGGAACTGAAGGGAGGAAACGTCTAACATTTTATAAATAAAAGTTTTACTGGTATTTCAAATTGGAGTATCAAAAAAGGTGGACTTGTAAGGATTTTAGAGGACCAAAGTTGGTCCTCCAAAATCTGTGAATCAAATTTAATTTCTTGATAATTGGACTTGTTAAGAAAAGGCTAAAAACTCAATTTAGGCCTAAGTCTTTGATAGTTTGCTCGATTTGGGGTTAATTCTTTTAATTGCAATATTTTGATCTTAAACCTAAGGGATGAACAAATTAGGCTCAAGTTGATGGAAATTCATAGGTGTAATGTAATACATGCGCAGTTATCTTCATTAACAGTCCATTTGAATAAGTTGTGTTGAGGATTAGTAAAGAAAAGGAAATGATAGAAAATGAGAGTTCCATGAAGGAAAAGAAAGGAAAAACCAATCCTTGTTTGAATAGTTTTAAATGTAAAAAGGAACGGAAGGGAGGAAACGTCTAACATTTTATAAATAAAAGAATTTTACTGGTATTTCAAATTGGAGTATCAAAAAAGGTGGACTAGTAAGGATTTTAGAGGACCAAAGTTGGTCCTCCAAAATCCGTGAATCAAATTTAATTTCCAATCCAAACATGAACTTTAGCCAATAAAACCTCCCTTCCTGTCCCATCCCCTCCAGAGCCCTCAATCTAAACACATTGTAACTGTTACACATGTAAAATCAACAAAAAGCCACGTCGTTTTTTAGAAGCCACCTCTATTATTCAATAAAAATAATAAATTAAAAAAAGGTTGAAAGTAATTTTAAAAAAATAACAGGGCGAACAAAAAAAAGAAAAAATAAATAAAGAACATTATAAAACTGATGATGAATGCCAAGAACTATAGAGAGAAAGTGAGAGAGAATTCTTACTATTCCAAAGAGAATAGAATACATAAATGAAATATCTTTACAACTGAACCAAGTTAACTTATTTATGGCTGAAAAGTTACAACGTCTAAAAAGATGAAATCTAAATCTAGTGCCCTATATCACTAAGATATTCAAATTTCCCCTTACCGAAAAAAGTGTTAATGCTTCATCGATCATTATCTCATTATGATCCCATATTTCATTACAACGGAAATTTCAGTATTCTCCGAATTCTTGATTGTTGATATTCCATACGGAATCGTTGAAATGCACCGAGTCGTGAACACAGAGAGTTGACCACTGCATCACATCAATTAATTGAGACAACGACAAGAGAATTTAGAAGAAAACAAGCCAGAAGTAAGGGATGGAAATTTTCTGCTCCAATTTTGGTGCCCTACTCTATGTCCCATTCACCAAATTATGCCACATGTCCTTTGTTTATAGCTTGTTTGATTTCAAATTTTTACAAATAACATTAATAAAATAAAATAAAATAAAAATACCACTTAAACACCAGACTTAGCCCCAAATTAAAATAAATATTTATGTAAAGGGTTACTCTTAAATATTAATATATTCCCTCTAGGGTTTTAGAATGAAAATTTACAATTTATTTTGTACAAGGCAATATGGAATAATATCAAAAACTAAAAAAGGACACATGCCATCATTTAGTGAATGGAGCACAAAGTGGGGCACAAAAATGGGGCATAGGATTTTTATTTAGAAGTAAGTGTTACTTAATAATAATAACTAGCAAACATTTTTCATATCGTATTAAACTTGGTCATTGCTGTTAAAAAATTGTTGTTTGATTTTAGCCAAAACATCCTTTGATGCGCCAAGGGCTTATCATGGTCTTGAAGAGCACAATGGAGCCAATGGAGATCATGGAAAGGATGATCAAGGAGTGCAAAGAAGCTTGGAGGAGCAAGGAGGAGATGGGATCGCATCCAAGACATCAATGGATGGAGGAATCGCACCAAAGATGTCATTGGATGGAGGAATCGCACCAAAGATGCCATTTGATCCTTTGGTGATGCCATTAGGTCCTATGACTAGGGCTAGGGCTAAAAGGTTCAAGGAAGCATTATTGGGCTTTGTTCGAAGCCATCTTGAAGGCTTGAAGTCCATTGAAGATCAATTGGAGAGCATTGAAGACATTAAGCAAAGGAATATTCCCATCGATTCCAAGTTGTGCACCATACTTGCAATTGATGATCATTAGGGCTTACATTGTGTAATTCGACCAATCGAACCTTTATTCTATCTTAGATTAGCTATTTAATTAGTTTAGAAGACATTGGGTTGGGCCTTGTTTGACTAAGTTCAGTCCTTGCTTGATTAAGTTATGTATTTACTTTTCCTAGTAGGACAAGGAGTAGGCAATTTCCTTGATCCTTCCTTTATGTTATGCCGCCCTTAAGGCTTTAGGATTAGGGTGAGGGGCGTCCCCTACTACTATATAAAGGGATCATCCCCCTCTTGTAAACACAAGTTAAGTTTTCAATAAAGATTTGAGGTTTATTAACCCAATTGATTATCTTAGCTTCATTGTTCTAGTTTGAGCAAAGTTAGGGTTCTTCAATCTTGTAGAGTCATAGCAAGCAATTAGGTTGTGATTGCTTAATTGTTTGTGAATCTTGTGATCTTAGGTATTTAATTGCAGGTCTAATTGGAGACTTAAGGCCGGCGAACGAAGAAGAAGACTAGGTTAGGTTTATCGACTCATACAAGTCTAGAAGTCTTGGTGTTTCAATTCGACTTTAGTGGCTATTCAAAGGTGGGATTGAATCTAAAACACCTATATTCGTATCTATTGTTATTCAGAGCATTGGTTGTCATCTTCAATCGGTAAATCTATCTTTCTATTCATCATTCATCAAGTTTTCATCCATCAAAGTTCATCTAGTTCTTATCGCACCATAGTGTTCAAAAATTCAGAAACTTTGAAAAATCATAGCCGATTCATCTTAACTCCAATTGACTTGAAATTTCAGATTTGAGTTCCTTATAACTAGTAGTTATATCGAAAAATATTAAAAAAAAATCGACCAAAAACTTGTGATTTTTGTTCCGGATTCGTTTGAACTCGGAAAGCTTTGAAATTTGAGCTATAGACTTCTTTTAGTGTGATCTTTCTGGGAAAAATACTGAAAAAAATCAAAAAAACTCTGTGGTGTTATCGACTTTTTGCAGAAACTAGGGTTTTAGTTTTGGGAATTTGGTGATTAGGGTTTTCTATGGTGCAATTGATTCAATTGGTTGCAATTAACCCTAATTGATTGTGTGAATAAGATTCTTGGGTTGCTTTTGATGTGAATTGAAGTTTAATTTGAAGAATTTCAGATCCTATTTGATTTAAGTGGTACAAAATAGGATTTAAGTGGTACTAGGGTTTTGAAACATCACCCAGGCGCGGGTCACCCTTGCCCAGGCGCGGGCTACCCAGGAGGTTTAACAAGAGTTGTTCCAGAACCTTGCCCAGGCGCGGGTTACACCAGAAAATTGTGGAGTTTGGTTTTGTTTTGAGATCACTTTCCTTTTGATTCAAAAAAATTTTGCTATTAATTGTTTGTTCCTCAAGTAGGTCACGAGAAGAAAGGAGTGCTCTAGGAGTTGCTCTTATTAGGCCTATTGAAGCTAGTAAAAGGCATAATCTTGTGAGATCATCAAGAGAGTAGTGGACCGCCAATCCATAGGAATTGAGTGAAAATACGAGAGCACAATCAAGGTATACACACACACACTTGTGAGGATTTTTACTACTAATCTTTGTTCTTTTTGTAGGAACCATGGGAGATAGACAAGAAGAACCAAATCAAGAAGTAAACACGGCTGCCGTGTTACAACAAATACTTCAACAACTTGGCACCATGAGTACTAGATTGGAAAATCTAGAAGCTGGAAACCAACAAGCTCAAAGAGGAGCTAATGCCGCACAACCTAATGATCAAGGGGATCGACATCAAGCTAATAGACAAGTTGCTCATAGAACCGATCCTATGGAGAGATTGAGGCAACAAGAGCTTGGAGGTCAAGCAATCAATGAGAATATGTGGCCTAGAAGGGGAGTTGAAAGAGAAAGAGAAGAGCCTAAGGACAACATCAAGTACAAAATCGCTAAATTCAATGGGAGAGGGTCACCATCCGATTACCTAGAGTGGGAATCGAAATTGGACATGTACTTTGATTACCATCCTCATGCCGAAACAAAGAAAGTTCAAATTGCTACTCTTGAGTTCACGTAGAATGCTTTGAATTGGTGGAATCTATTAGTACAATCAAAGAGGAGAAATTTGGAGAGGCCTATTGATACTTGGTTGTCGTTGAAGAGTTTTATGAGAAAGAGATTTGTTCCAAGCTTCTATACTACTTCTCTTTATCAAAGCTTGCAATCTTTGAGGCAAGGAACAAGGAGTGTTGATGAGTACTATTCCGAGATGATGTTGTTGATGTCTAGGGCCGATGTTGATGAAGCTCCACAAGCTACAATGGCTAGGTTTATGGCGGGGTTGAATAGAGAAATTCATGACATTGTGGAGATGCAACAACACTATGATGTTGAGGAATTATTTCAACATGCCTTGAAGGCCGAGGGTCAAGTGAAAAGGAATAGTGCTAAGAAGATTTTTGCATCATCATCTAGCTCATGGAAAACTCCAATAAAAAAAGATGAGAAATCATCCAACAAAGAGAAGGAGTTGGTGCAAAGGGGAGCAAGCCCTAAATCCGATTCTAAGTCTTCATCGAGTTCATCTTGTAAGAATCATGTTAAGTGTTTCAAGTGTCAAGGATTTGGTCATTATGCTAAAGATTGTGTTAACAAGAAGGTTATGTACACTAATGACTATGGAGAAATTGTGAGTGAAGATGAAGAATTTGCCCTAGGATCTAGTGGTGATGGAGATGATGAAAGGGGATTGTCGCATGATTATGAGGATGATGATGATGGTAACACACCGGCACTCTTGAACTTAGTTGCAAGAAGAACTTTGAGTGTCTATGTTAAAGGAGATGTGAATAATCAAAGGGAAAATTTGTTTCATACTAGGATGTATGCGTGTGAGAAACCTAGTAGTGTGATCATTGATGGAGGGAGTTGTACGAACATAGCTAGTGTGTACTTGGTGAAGGAGTTGTCGTTGCCCACTACCAAACACCCTAAACCCTATAGTTTAGGATGGTTCAATGATAGAGAGGAGATTAAGGTTAACAAACAAGTTTTAGTTTCTCTTTCTTTGGGCAAGTACAATGATGAGGTGCTATGTGATGTTCTTCCAATGCAAGCATGCCATGTCTTACTTGGTCGACCATGGCAATATGATAACAAGGTCCCTCATGATGGTGAGACAAATAAGTATTCTTTTGTTTATGGTAAGCATCCTATTACTTTGATTCCTTTATCACCTCAAGAAGCTTTAAAAGATCAATTGAAATTGAAAGAGGATTTGCTAAATTGGAATCGGAATATAGGGTATTAGAAAAGGGTAAGAATGTTAGTTCTAGTGTGAATTGCGATAACAACAAATCTGTTTTGGTTGATAAGCATGCTAGTTCTATGAAAGTTGTTAAGGAGTGTATGTTAGCTACTAAGAGTGAGATTAAAGAGGCTTTGAGTGATAATTCTGTTTTGATCTTGCTTTTGCTTAAAAATACACTTGTTGTTACTAACAACTTGGAAAGAGAGCTTCCAAGCAACATTGTTTCTCTTTTGAGTGATTATGTAGATGTGTTTCCTGAGGAGATTCCAAGTGGTTTACCACCAATTAGGGGGATTGAACATTAAATTGACTTCATCCCTGGAGCGCAAATACCTCATAAGCTAGCTTATAGGACAAATCCTAAAGAAACAAAGGAGTTGGAGAAACAAGTTGCAGAGCTACTAGAAAAGGGTTTTGTGCGTGAAAGCCTTTCTCCATGTGCAGTTCCTGTTTTGCTTTTTCCTAAGAAGGATGGGACTTGGAGAAAGTGTGTTGATTGTAGGGCAATAAACTACATAACGGTAAAGTATCGTCACCCTATTCCTAGATTAGTTGATATGCTTGATGAATTGCATGGTGCTTGCTTATTTTCAAAGATTGATTTAAAGAGTGGCTATCATCAAATTCGCATGAAAGAGGGTGATGAATGGAAAACTACCTTTAAAACTAAGTTAGGATTGTATGAATGGTTAGTTATGCTTTTTGGATTGACTAATGCACTAGTACTTTCATGAGGTTAATGAATCATGTTTTCAGAGCTTATATTGGCAAGTTTGTTGTTGTTTATTTTGATGATATACTTGTGTATAGCCGAAACCTTGATGAGCATGTTAAGCATCTAAGATGTGTATTAGATGTACTTAGGGTTGAGAAGTTGTATGCTAACCTTAAGAAGTGCACCTTTTGCACAAACAAGTTTGTTTTTCTTGGTTTTGTGGTGTCATCGCAAGGTATAGAAGTTGATGAGGAGAAGATCAAAGCAATCAAAGATTGGCCAACCCCCACCAACGTTGGTCAAGTGAGATCTTTTCATGGACTAGGCAGATTCTATAGGAGGTTTGTTAAGGACTTTAGCACCTTAGCCTCACCTATTACTAGTGTGATGAAGAAGAATGCACCATTCAAGTGGGGAAAAGAACAACAAGAAGCATTTGAGACCTTGAACGAAAAATTAACTAATGCTCCTTTGCTTGTTTTACCTAACTTTAACAATACTTTTGAGATTGAATGTGATGCATCAGGGGTTGGAATTGGAGCTGTTTTGATGCAGGGTGGGAAGCCCGTAGCTTATTTTAGTGAGAAATTGAATGGGGCTGCATTGAATTATCCAACCTATGATAAAGAGTCGTATGGTCTTATGAGGGCGTTGCAAACATGGCAACACTATCTTTGGCCTAAGGAATTTGTGATTCATACGGATCATGAGAGCTTGAAGTATTTAAGAGGCCAACACAAGTTGAACAAACGACATGCTAAGTGGAGTGAGTTCATTGAGAGTTTTCCTTATGTTGTGCGATAAAAACAAGGTAAGGAGAATGTTGTAGCCGATGCTTTATCAAGGAGGTATGTCTTACTTTCCATGCTTGATTCTAAGTTTATTGGTTTTGAATTCATTAAGGAATTGTATGCTAGTGATGCTTTCTTTAGTGAAATCTTTAATGCATGTGAGAATTCTGTATTTGGAAATTATTATAAGAATGATGGATTTTTGTTTAAAGAATCTAGATTGTGTGTGCCTTCTTGGTCATTGCGTTATGTTCTTGTGAGGGAATCGCATGAAGGGGGTTTAATGGGTCACTTTGGAGTTGATAGAACATATGAGATATTGCATGAACACTTCTTTTGGCCTAAGATGCGATAAGATGTAGGAAAGCATGTTTCTAGTTGCTTTGTATGTTTGCAAGCTAAATCTACATCTAAGCCTCATGGATTGTATACTCCTTTGCCTATTCCTCATGAACCATGGACTCATATTAGCATGGATTTTGTGTTAGGATTACCTCTCGTTCTAAGAGAGGTAAAGATTCTATCTTTGTGGTTGTTGATAGGTTTTCTAAGATGGCACACTTCATTACATGCACTAAAACGGATGATGCCATTAATGTAGCTAATTTGTTCTTTAAAGAGATTGTTAGACTACATGGAATGCCTAGGACAATTGTGAGTGATAGAGATGCTAAGTTCTTAAGTCACTTTTGGAGAACTTTATGGGCTAAGTTAGGAACTAAGTTGTTATTTTCAACTACTTGTCATCCTCAAACCGATGGCCAAACTGAAGTAGTTAATAGGACTTTGTCAACCTTGCTTAGGGCATTAATTAAGAAGAACTTAAGAACTTAGGAGGATTGTCTACCTCATGTTGAATTTGCATACAATAGAAGCATACATAGTACTACTGGACATTCACCTTTTGAAACTGTGTATGGTTTTAATCCTTTAACCCCATTGGATTTGTTGAGTTTACCTTTGAGTGTGCAAGTCGACATGGATGGTGAAAGAAAAGCCGACTTTGTTAAGGATCTTCATGCAAGAGTTCGAGCTCAAATTGAGAAGAAAACAAAACACTACGTGAATGTTGCTAACAAGGGGCGCAAAGAGATCATCTTTGAACCTGGTGATTGGGTTTGGTTGCATCTAAGGAAGGAGAGGTTCCCTGAAAAGAGAAAGTCTAAGCTCTTACCTCGTGGAGATGGTCCATTCCAAGTCTTGGAGAGGATCAACAACAACGCATACAAGCTAGATCTTCCTAGTGAATATGGCAATGTAAGTGCTACTTTTAATGTTTCAGACTTATCCTTGTTTGATAGTGATGTAGTTTTGAGTACAAATCCTTTTCAAGGGAGAGGGGATGATGCGCAAAGGGCTTATCATGGTCTTGAAGAGCACAATAGAGCCAACGGAGATCATGGAAAGGATGATCAAGGAGTGCAAGGAAGCTTGGAGGAGCAAGGAGGAGATGGGATCGCATCCAAGACATCAATGGATGGAGGAATCGCACCAAAGATGCCATTTGATCCTTTGGTGATGCCATTAGGTCCTATGACTAGAGCTAGGGCTAAAAGGTTCAAGGAAGCATTATTGGGCTTTGTTCGAAGTCATCTTGAAGGCTTGAAGTCCATTGAAGATCAATTGGAGAGCATTGAAGACATTAAGCAAAGGAATATTCCCATCGATTCCAAGTTGTGCACCATACTTGCAACCGATGGTCATTAGGGCTTACATTGTGTAATTCGGCCAATTGGGACTTTATTCTATCTTAGATTAGTTATTTAATTAGTTTAGATGACATTGGGTTGGGCCTTGTTTGACTAAGTCCAATCCTTGCTTAATTAAGTTATGTTATTTACTTTTCCTAGTAGGACAAGGAGTAGACAATTTCCTTGATCCTTCCTTTATGTTATGCCGCCCTTAAGGCTTTAGGATTAGGGTGAGGGGCATCCCCTACTACTATATAAAGAGACCATCCCCCTCTTGTAAACACAAGTTAAGTTTTCAATAAAAATTTGAGATTTATTCACCCAATTGATTATCTTAGCTTCATTGTTCTAGTTTGAGCAAACTTATAGGGTTCTTCAATCTTGTAGAGTCCTAGCAAGCAATTAGGTTGTGATTGCTTAATTGTTTGTGAATCTTGTGATCTTAGGTATTCAATTGCAGGTCTAATTGGAGACTTAAGGCCGACGAACGAAGAAGAAAACTATGTTAGGTTTATCGACTCATACAAGTCTAGAAGTCTTGGTGTTTCAATTCGACTTTGGTGGCTATTCAAAGTTGGGATTGAATCTAACACAATTAGATTCGTATCATCCTTCATATCTTTTCTTTCTTCCCGGAACTTAGATGAACAATTCAAAGCTAACTCCAGGATGGAAGATATACAATTCGCTTTACGTATGAATTAGTCGTCCTCTCTACTAAGTGATTTGGTAGGGGTGAGCAATAGGCGGTTGAAACCGCCAAACCGACTGCCACCGACGGTTGCCGGTTGAGGCGGGCCGATTTTTCGATGTAGTCGGTACTGGCGGTTCCAACCGCTACCGATTTATAAAACGTTGGTCAGTTTTCAGTAGAAATTTTTTAACTCGAAACCGAACCGAAATCGACCAATTAATTTTATTACATATAAAATATATTTCTACATTTCATGCATTTACTAGGTTGAACTGCTCTGCTCTGTAATTGCTAAGAAGAAGAACACCCTGCGACGAATAAGGGTATGTTTGGCAGAGCGTTTGAGTGTGTTTGGGCCAGTCACCAGCCCAAACGTCCAAAACGCTCTACCAAATGTATCTTATTGTATGGAGTGGTTGGCCTACGTGGCCAACTTACTCCACTCTTAAACGCCCCATTTTGGCTGCAACAAAATGCTGCAGCTGCAACGTTTAGTGGAATTTTTCCACTTTTATCCTCTTTTTCTTTTTATTTAATTAAATATTATTAAAATAATTATGTAAAGTTAAAATTATTATATATATGTATGATAATAAATATTTAAGTGTTGTTTTAATTTATTTTATATAATTATATATTTAATAGTATTCTTTTTAATTTCTTCAAAAAATAGTATTATTTTTAATAAAATATTTAAAATTCAAGAAAATATTAATATATATAATATTATTATAATTACTATATTTTAAACCCTTATTGGTCATTTTACATCCACACCTCACCGCTACACCAAACATATACTTTCCACCGCTGATTAAGTTCTCACAGCTACAATTTTAATCTCATATATACAGTAACTAATCTCCCCATTTTCAACCTCCCCCACACCAATCTCACAGCCCTGCCAAACAGAGCCTAAGATGATAGGAAGAAAGAAGGGAAAAAAAACAGTATTTGATTTTTACGTTATGCTTGGACTGGGCTAAGTTTTTTTTTGCTACATTGGACTGGGCTAAGTGATTATGGGCTACTCTCCTTTGGATACCAAATGGGCGTTGAATTACATGACTGCCTTTGGGCCTAAAAAATTCCTTTTGGCTTTTTCAAGAAATGGAAAACAAAAATAACAAGTTTTTATTGAAAACCGACTAAACCGACCGCCACCGACCAAAATCGATTAAGTTGATTTCTTATATGTTTCGGTCGGGTTTTCGGTTTTATATATCTTATAATTCAAAATCGACAAAAAACCGACAAAAATGATAAAAAAAAATCACAAACCAACCGAACCGACCGATACTCCCCTATAAGTTGGCATCCACAATATCATTTATTCCATTATATAATAATTGTTTCACCTAATGCCTCATAGTCATTGTCTCAGTAAAAATTTCATGTGTTGGCTTCCTTTTGCTAGTTTATTTGATATTGTATAAATTTTGGTACACTTGCCCGATTTAGGTTGTTCAAGTGTCGGTTAAAAGGTTATTGTGTGATCTACAACTTTTGTTATGGGCCTGAAAGCTGAATTTGATTAATAAGATTCGTGGAGGGTTCAAGAGGGAATTTTTATATTTGGTCTCCATAAACAAATAATTTTTTTGCTGGATTATTTATCAAATGATCCCTATACTTTTATAATTTATGTTATTTAATTCTTTACAAATTCTGGGTTGGATGCTTTAATGTTTCGGCTTTAATTCTTTTACTTTTTGTTCTATTTGTCCGATCAAGGTGATTCAAGTGTCTATTGAAAGATAATTTCATGATCTACAAGTTTCATGAAGAACTTAAAAACCAATTTTAATGTTTCAATTCTAAAAATTGCTTTTAAAATTTTGTGGTTTCGATTGCTGGTCTGTTTAATACCATATAATTTTCGGTCCACTTGTCCGACTTGAATGGTTGTTCCATGATCTGCAACTCTCACAAGCTTTTAACAAATTTCAAATTAAATCTACTTTCTCCTAATCCTTGACATATGATTTGATTAATTTTCTAATTTACAATGATCTACGACTCTCATTTAATCCTTGACATATGATTTGATTACTTTTCTAATTTACCATGATTTATGATTCCCATAAAGAACCTGAATCTTTTTAACAAATTTTGAATCAAATCTAACCTTCTAACTTAAACAATTATTTTTTATATCTTTCTTTTTTTAATAGATTTATTAATTTCTTCTCATTTCATAATTGAACTTTCTTTAACTCAATAAAAAAATTTAAATAAAATCTAACCTAAATCCAATTTAATTATAATATAATTTAACATCAGATTGATATTCTAAATAATGATATATACTATACTACTCCATTCAAAATTGATATATACTATACTACTCCATTCAAAATTAAAATGAAGGACTGGATTGAACAATTTTGAAAAGTAAAGGGACTTTGTTTGCATTTTTCCCTTGCAAATGGGCTGGGTCAATCAAGAGCATGGTGCGGAGCGGTTCACCCAATAGGTAAACCATACAATACCATTTTGTTTCAACAACAACAAAAAGTAAAAAATAAAAAATACCATTTTGACATTTTTCCACCAGGTGTCATTTTTCACTACAAAATGCTGCATATGCAGTGAAAATGCCAGATGTTTTGCTTTCAGGAATACAAGGGACATGTGTTAATCGGGTGTTCAGTTAACACAAACCCTTTTTACCTTTTCATTTAATTTCTCTCATTAATTTTGTCTTTCTTCTTCACCTCTCTCCTTACCGTTTGTTTCTCTGTCTCTTCCAAGGTTTCCTTCATCTCTGTTCTTTTTCCTTCAATCAATCTCTTTCTCTTTCATTTTTTCTTCATTTCAGATGCTTCCTCTTTTCAGTTCATTTCTTTCTATTTTCAGGTTCTCTGGGCTCAATTGTCCTCCGGTATGTCTCACTCTCTCATCTCCCAATTTAATTTGATTTTCATATTCTAATGTCTTTTGTTCTTTTTTCTTCTCTTTTGTTATTGCATGTTTGCTTTAGTCCTTTTTAGTTTTGGATTTTCATCCAATACTCCTTGTTCTTGCAGACTGCAGTTGTGTTTTGTTGAAGCTCTTGGTGTTTTGTCCTGGTAATTTATCCATATTTTCCATTGATATTTCAATTAATATTTTGCATGAATGTTTTTTCTGGGTATTTTCTGTTTTTTATAATCTTGGTTTATGTTGGTGAAATTACTTTTGAAATCCTCAAAGTTTCTTAATTTTTTTCGTTAATTTACATGTTAGTTTTCTCTCTTTAATTTTCGATTTTTTTTTCTTCCTCCTTAACTTTGACAGGATTTTCTTTTTCCTGTTCTTTTTGTTGATTTTTTATTGGTTCCTCATGTTATGTTGAATTGTTGATTGATGGGTGTGGTTTGGATTCGATGAAATAGGAGCTTCAAAGAGTTGTTTGCTCTGGTAAAGTGGAGCAAGCTGTTAATTTGTTGGAGGTTGTTTCCGGTGAGTTAATCGGGTTTGCTTCTATGTAATTTTTTTATTTTAATTTTCCCTAATTTTTTTTAGGTTCTTAGTTTTGCATCTCTCTAAATCGTTGCTTTATTTCTTCTTTTATATTTTCCAGGTCTTCCTCTGTCTTTGGTTGTACTATCTTTCTACTCTGTTTTAATTTCTGTCGAATATATACATGCAGGATCAATGAGAGAGATTTGAAGGCTGAGGTGTGAGTCCATTTTTCAATTTTTTAATTACTTCTTAGATTCTTTTTTGAGGTTTCCGGCTTGCACTAAGTCTTCAAAATTTCCTCATCTAAAATGTTTTGACTTTTGCAAGATTTGTGTTTAGACAGCTCTCCTATTGTTTCTCTCTGAAATTCTCAATCCTTGCTTAATAATTAATAGGTTTGCAAATTGCGATGATTGCATGGGAGATTTTTGGCATGTTCAATCACTCTTCTATCAATTCAAGAATAATCAAGGTATATGCTTTAGTTAAAGTTAAAAAAAAAAAAAAAAAAAAAAAAAAAAAAACTCTTACTTTATGCATTGTATTCATTTGCATGGAATGGTGAGTTTGAAGTTCTGATTGTCAATCCTAAATGTGAGTTTCATTTCATTGCCATGCCTATAAATGAGTAGAAAGATGAAAACCTGAGATTTCAACTTCACAGTCATTGATTTTTTCTCTTTTGCAGCATTAGTTATTCACTGTGAGGAGCTGCATTGGCTTTGCATTTGAACTAATAGCAGTATTTTTGCTTCTGATAAAGGTGAGAGCTATTGCATTTTTCTTTTAAAACTAAATATATATTGATACATATTATGATACTCTTAAATTTTCTCTCTTGAGCATGGTCATATAACAATTATGAAAAGTTAGGA